AAAAAAAAAATATATATTAACTTAAAAACCTTACTCTGATTTGTTTATCTTCAGCACCTGTAGCTAAATAATTACCATCAGGACTAAAACATACACTTCGAATATACAAATCACCAGTTTTATCAACATTAGGATCGTCAAGAACGCTGCACATAGTAATAATATATACAATGAATATACATTTTTTTTTTTAAAATCGAATTTTTCTAAAATAGAAAATAATAAAATCAATACTAACTACATCTTTTGACCAGTTTTAACATTATAAATTTGTGCACTTCGATTACAACCAGTTGCAAGTAAGCTGCCGTCCGAATTGAATTTAACACAACAAACAACGCTAATAACAAAAAACAATAATTTATGATATGTATATGTATATATGTATATATGTGTGTATGTGTATATATATATATATATATATATAATATATTATAAATCATGAAATAATTAATATATATACCTATTGTGATCTAATGTATGCATCAAATCAACGTTGAGGACTCGGTTTACTTTTGGATTGAAACTGGATTAAAAAAATAAAATCAATTAATCATCATAATAACAATAAAAACAACAACAATAACATATATATATATATATATATATTTATTTAATATTAGGACATACATTGCGAACCAATCAGTTCCTTCTTTTTTAAGCTGAGCAGGTACACTATCAGGATCCATATCACTTAGACCAGTACTACCACCACTGACTGAAGGTTGCCTCATTGGAGGTCGACTACCTGATTGTAATTGATTACTTGTATTTTGATTATTTTTACGTTTATTAGATGGTGGACCAGAATGTTGTGCATTACCATTAGGAGGTACTCCAGAACTTTGTGGAACTTCAGGTCCAAGATTTGGTGGCATCTGTTGTTGCATTAGGTTTACCGACTACACATATACACATATAAAGAATGATTAATAAATATGGATTAATAAATAACCAATGTAAATTAATTGTTTGTTCTCCTTACTTTTGGCATTTTATTTCCTGGTTTACTTTGTCCAACTCCTTGCATACCGTAACTTTGTTGATTCATTGGTGGTTGGCCAGGTTGAGGAGGAGGCGGTGGTGGCGGCGGAAGACCATTATTGCTGTATATACCAGAAGGTGGCTGTTGATTATTAACAGGCATTCCTAAAGGGTTTGGAGGACCAGGAGGACCTCCACCGTCTTCTATTCGTTGACGTTTAGAAGAATGTTGTGATTGTTGAGATAAAGGGCTTGGACCGCTACCATTTAGATAAGGAGAAGGAGCAGGATTTCCAGCACCTTGAGAGATATTTTGAGGTGGTGGAGGAGGAGGGCCAGCTTGACTCGAATAAGAATTTGGGTGAGATGGAGTTTGACCAGGAGGTGGTGGAGGAAGAGGAGGTTGTTGCTGCTGCTGTGAAGGATCTAAAGACATCTGAGGAGGAGCAAGACCCTGAGCACCACTCATGATTCCGCCAAATAAATTATTTGGGCCTTGACCAATATTTGGTGGAGGTGGCTGAGGATGTGATGGTTGTGATGGTTGTGGATGAGAACTGGTAGAGGGATGGGAATGTAATCTTTGAGTATCTAAGTCACGTTGAAGTCCACGTAAATTATCATCATATCTATTTTTAAGAAGAAAAAAAAATATCAAAAGAGTAATAATAATAATAATAACGAGTAAATAAATGTGTAGAGTACATAATGATAATATTAATTGATAATTAATAATTAATAATGAAATCAATCGATTAACTCATACTGTGCTTTTATATTTTTCTGAGTAGCCTGTAAATCGTATAATCCTTGACGAATATGAGCAACTTCTTCAGTTTGTTGTTGAACTTTTTATTTAAAAAGAAAAAAAAAGAATATAATAATAAGAATATAATTAATTTAATTATAATTAAATCTTTTTTAATAAATCTTATTAATCAATCTAATAATAATTGTCTTCTCCTCCAATAACAATAATAACTATGATGGTGATTATGATGATTATGATGATTATAATGGTTATGATGGTGATTATAGTGATTATATACCTTTATTTTCAAGGTCGTCACGTTGCATTTTATACATTGTAGATTCTTGATGAAGGGTTTCAATTTCAGTCTTTAAAGCCTCCAGTAAATCACCTATACGGGTTGCAGCAGTTGTTGAGGCAGGAACAATCTGTCTATGGCTGTATATATTTGACATTTTGTAGATCTCTGTTATATAAAATAATTGAAAATAGAATTAGCAGAGATGATGTAGAATAAACAATTGAAAAAAAAAGATTTTGATTGAGCAATGGAGGAAATAATAAGTATAGAGAGAATAACTAAAACAATAATATAGATTCAACAACAACAAGAAGAAGACTCACGTCGATATTATTTTGATGAACAAAGTTACAGTCGCCAAAATTTTGACTAATGTAATTATATCTACACTGTCCAAACTTACAAATAAAAGGAAAAATTTATTGGTAGTATTTTTACTTTTCTTTTTAAAATTAAAATAGTTATAAAAAAAGCAAAGAAAAGAATTATAAATGATCAAGAAAAAATAAAAAAATAGAATAAAAATAAAAAAAGAAAATATTTTTTGAGTTTAAAAGTGCGAGTGTTCGGTTGTGAGAGTTTGTTGTGTGTAAAAAGAAAGAGAAAAAAAAAAGTTTATTTTTTCAATATCAAATACAAAATATAATTATATTTTACAATATATTTAAAATAAATATATTGATGTATTGATGATGATGAAAAAAATGATGAGTATAGTATATATTGATGATTGTGATTTTTTGGTTGGTAAATTGAAAAAATTTTTTTAAATCAATTTATTAAAAATAAATATTAAATAAATAAAAAATAAAAATTTTTTATTACACATCACACGTCTCCATAGCACACACATATTTCATAACACACGCACACGCACACACAAACATAAACAGTACCACAGCAACCCGTTTTATATTAGAGCAAAAGTTTGTTACGTCATCAAAGTTAGTTAAACTATATAGAAAGTAAAGTTTGTGTCCAATAAATTAAAAACCCAGGCTACCCAGGCTATTCTTGTTATGTACAAAATTCCAAAATAAAAATAAAATTTTAAGGAGGAGGTGAAGAAAAAGTTTTTAAATAAAACTCAACCAAATATAGAATTAATTATCGATTAAAAATAGTTATATTTAATTATTAATGAAAGTTTTTTGTTTACTATTTGTGTATAAAATAAAAATTTACGAATTCCAGAGTTGACGCTATGTTAGAAAATCCAGAGCTGGGACTGAGTAAGTATGATGGATTGATTGATTAAATTGATGAAAATTTTTTTTAAAATAGATAAATAAATAAAAAAATTATTTATTGGCAAATAAATATTTATTGCAGATCTGGGCTGTTACTTTTATTTATTTCTTGTGCTATTTTGCATTGTTTTTAAAATAATAACCATACATAATAGAAATAATAATAATATTATTGATTGTTACACTTTTTGTATGCAAATGATAATAAAGAGATAAGAATTTGCGAGCAGATGAAGTTACACTAACAATTGAAATGAATTATTGGCACGTGATATCACAAAAATATTCATTATTTAAATTTCTATATATAGATAGAATTTCAATTATTTTTAGAAGGTTCGAATGTCTAACAATTTTGTTTATTATTATAATAGGGATTAATATTAACTTTAGTGAATTAATAATCTTGTATTCCTCGTTCTTGCACATTTTTCATTTTTATTGTTATAATTGTAAATATTTCATTTGCTTGTTTTATTCTTTTCATTTTACCACCACTGGCTATATTATTCTTCCCATTTTCATCATTCTTTTTATCATCAGTAATATCAAGAATAAATTTTTGTTGGTTTAATTCATCACAAATAGCCAACATATTGTCATCATCATCATCATGTCATCATCATCATCATCATCATCATATAATCATCATTACTTTGAAAATATTTTAAAGCTTCTAACAATTCCTTAATAAAATAACTGCTCCAATTTTTTATTGCACCACCATCAATTGTTCCACTATTTGGTCCTTGTTGCATGTGTAAAATGGGTTTATTGGATAAAACATCAGAACGTGGGATTTTAATTTATGTTGTAGTTTCTAGATGTTGAAGCATTCGCACTTTTACTAACCAAAAATAAAATAATAAAAATTTTAGAAAGAAATTCTGAAAATTTTCCTAAAAAAAATTTTTGTTTGCACAAAAGAATTACATATGCACATACACCACATAATAAAGTTTAATTTATTATTATTAAATGTGGAAATGACAAAATCCAAATACCAGGGTTCAAATGAATGAATGAATGCCCCGTAAATTTAGAGCATTTTGGGTATGTGTGGAATTATTGCTGCGGTTAGCTATCAATATATGATCTAATCTAGCATAGTAAAGATTCATATATGTGATCGGCATCATACTTTTATGATAGTAATTTATAAAAGTGGTACAATGCACGCCACTATAACCCATCAAATTTTTATTACAAATTTGATGTCAAAAAAAAATTTGAGGTAACGTGACACGATTAGAGATGTCGATCAAAAATAAAATGTTATTCATCTATTTCATCTATCACATTGTCTGGAATCCTTCTATGTGATTTATATTTTTTGCAATATATTCAGCCTGTAGTACTGTTAAACCTTTTCTGTAACAATCCATAAAACTTGAGGCCCTCATCACATACTTTCTAATTTTGTTTTAGTGATATAGAATCAAAAGCATTGGAGACATTCACTTGAAGACCTGCCCAACATATCATTTAGCAAGCCCCCAAATACTTTTCAATGTAGTTAAGCTCACAGTGAAACTTTGGATAGAAGATGACTTTATGTCCTCTTTCTTCAATTAATTCTTGAAGTAAGGGTTTTTGGTTTTTAAAAGCATCTTTGGTTGCTAAGATATGTCTAACGCAACAAGTCAAAGGTCCTTCAAGAAAAACTTTAAACAAAAAAATTTGAATGGGATTATTTTATATTCATAAATTCAATGCAATTATTATTATTGACTAAAAAAAAAAAACGCGTGAAAATTTTTTTTAATTTTATGGATGAATTATATCGAGTGATTTACCAGAATTAAAAAATCTATTTTTTCAAATTTGGAAAATTTTATAAAAATTACACGGTTTTCAAAAGCTTATAACTCTTGAACCAATAATTATTTTTAATTGTCTCGACGATAGATTGTAGAACTAGTCAAAAGCTAATATCATTTCAATTATTTTCTTTTTAGGTTTTAAAGTTGGTCAATTTTTATTTGATGGGTTATTGTGGCATGCACTATACCGTGTATATTATTACTGATACATCAATAATATATTTGGTACGTTTCGTTAAAAATTGTTTTATTCATTGATTGGTCAGATTAATAGTCATACGACAAATGATTTTTCGAATTTTGTACAACTATAAATTACCAAAATTAGGGAATCTAATCTAATCAGGAATCCCGATCAATATCGTAGAATTTGATTGGCTAAATAAAAATCCCAATATAATTTTTTTATTTCAAAAAAAAATTTTTTTTTTAAAGTTTTCTTTCTAAAAACATTTTTAAAAGGAAATATGGGAAGAATTCGTAGATCAAGAACTCATAAAAGTATCTAATTATAAATAATTATTTATAGTTATTTCTCTCTTTTATTTATTCTTTAAATTTTCTCTATCTCTGTCATTAGATATACGAGATCATTATAGAAAATACAGAACAAGAAATTATACAAAAGATTTAGATCAAATTCATGAAGATTTAAAAAAGCTAACCGATGAAAAAATGATGAGAATTGAAGAAAAAATAGAGAGTGGAAGTGGTGGAAGTGGAAAAGGAGAAATAATAAATCAGGAAAATAATTTTTTATTAAGTATTAAAATAAACGAAATAAATAATAACAGCAATAATAGTGTGGATGATACAAATATTGAGGATTTAGAATTACCAGGATCAGGAAAATTTTATTGTATTCATTGCGCGTAAGTATCAATCTACATGTATATATGTTTGTTATATATATATATATATATAAAGAAAATGTATAATTTATTATTACGTTGGAATTAAATCATTATTAACATATTATATTATATTATATCATATATCATATTATTATACAGTCGTCATTTCATTGATTCTCATGCATTAAATGAACACTATCGTGGAAAACTTCATAAAAGACGGTTTGTATACTATTCATATTTATAATTTCAGCGTTATATATATCTCCACATAAATTTATTTATAGATAATCTAACTTTATGTTAGTATAAAGCTTCTTAAAGAAACACCTTATTCTCAAAAAGAAGCTGAGGCTGCTGTGGGATATTCCACTGAAAACTCTAGAAATAAATCTTTATTGAATGATATTATCATCACTTAATAAATTTGTGTGTGTGTAAGATTACACCGCATATCTATCAGACGTCTTTATTTATTTATATTTACCAATATTAGCGTCCACCTCAAGGTAAAAATCCATTTCTGGTTAGTGTTATTTGGTCCCGATGATTGTAATTGGAGAGTAAGATCATTGTTTAATTTATTATTTACTGCCATTTATTTACCTATTTTCAGAAAATAAAGAGAGACTTGCATGTGGTAAAAAAGAGAGAGTGCCAGTGTGTGTAAATTAATTTCATTCAATCCATCCATCCCATATAATAACACTATATGCAAAATAATAATAACGTATTTGATTTAGCTTCATTCATTAATTCAAGACAAGGGGATTAAGCAATAATTTCCGTATATATACATATATGATGATTATCATTTCACTATAATAAAACAAGTAATTAAACAAGTAATTAATGTTTTGTGTATCTTGAGATAAGTGTGAAAATTTATCAACAGAAAAACATGGAATCTAAATAAATAAGAAAATCCCACACATTTAATTTTTTCCAATTAAGCCAATCCTAATCTATTCAAATAACATCAATAACATTATAGTTCCGACGTTATACAAAAACCAACTTCAAAAAAAAGTCAAACATGTATATATTATTACAATGTTGCAACTAAGATTAAAGAAAATGAATAATTATTTAAGCATTTAATTTAATAAAAATAATGCTAACTTTATAAGTGAAGTTAGTATTGATCTTTGAACACACGACTTTAATCAAATTAAGAGATCCAAGTTGAAAATAATCAAGACTTTTCTATATTTATTTATTTAACAAACTAGATAGGTATAGTATATCGTGCTACACATTTATTCCTGTATAAATATTAACCCACTTTTTTTCTTGTTTTTTATAATTAGGTTACTACTAGATTTAGTGTGTATCAAGAACAAAGCTTCTACAACAATCTGCATGTTGTGTATCTGTTTCACATGGTAAAGGTGTGAATATATATGTATATATAGAGGGGGGGGGGAGGGAAGAGAAGGAAGAGAGATGAAAGAGAGGGAACGGGTGAGAAAGGATTGATTTATCAATTAATTATTATTATCAGTTATTATTTTAATTGAGGAAGAATTCTTTTTTAAAACTTTAACAAATGTGTAACCTGTTATATATTAATTCGTTTTTTAAAAAATTTCTTTTATTTTACGTAGCAGAAAATTTTTTTTCTTACTCAATATAGGATTATGCAAATATGATTTTAATATTGTTCTTTTATATATATATACATACATACATACATATTTATTTATTACTGTACATGTATATATTAATATACATGTATTTATTTACGAATTACCTATAATTTTTTCAATTAATTCAATTAACTGAAGAAGAATTTAGAAAAAATTAAAAATTAGTAAACAAAAATTTTTTTGGAAAGTGAAAGAAGATGATTTTGAAAAAACAAAATTTTCATTTTGCATCATCATCAATCAGATGGTTAGTTGCCTGATATTCAAAGAAAACTTTTCTTTAGTATTGTGTTACCCTATTAACTGGTAATTTTACTTTTTGAGCGACTCACATTCTACCACATACATACTATTATATAGTTATTATAATAATTATAATACACTTTATTAGTAGATAATATATACATTATATAAGTGATGAGTGATGTAATTATCGTTTTTCTCTTATATATAAAAAAAAATAAAAAAATTTATTTTCTCAATTATTTTATTTTTTGTGAAATAAAATTATAATTATGGTTATTTTTGGACGAGAAATAAATTTTTCAGTGTTTTTTGGTTTTAATGGCTCACAAAAGTTTCCGCTTTTTCGATGGTTATTAATTCCAACAGCCTTCTTTTTAATAGTGGTTGGTAAATGATCTTCTTTATCATCTTTTAAAAGATAATAACAATAATAAATAATAAAATTTCTTAAAAAAAAAAAAAGATCCCTTCGAGAATTCTTTTACTTGCACAGAATCGTAATTTAAATCATACAACAGTTATATCGTTAGAAGATGACGACAACAGCAGTAAAATATCTCAAGGATTGTTTTTGATTACAAACAATCTTTACCTTGGTGGTGATATTATATATTTGATTTGCGGGTGTTTGATTACTTTATTTGGAATATTTGGTTTTCTAAGAAGAAATAACGCTGTTGGTCAATTTGTATCCTTTATAAAACATAAATTTTATATGTAGCGTGATTAAATTTAGTGATGATTTTATATAATAACAACAATGATTTATTTAATGATAATTTATCATCTTTAATAATAATGATGATGATGATGATAATAATACATTACAGATTTCAGCATTTTTAATTGCATTCACCGTGATTCACGCAATATCGGCTGCTTATACTGTGTTATTTAGTAATAGATGGATATTTAGAGTACTTGATGATACATGGGAAAATTCGTTTATTTATGATAATGAATTAATTCATGAAATCCAGAACGAGGTAAATATATTATTTTATAAATATTATGTGCACGTCTATACAGACAGACATACATATAGAGAATGTACGCATATTCATTAATATATCATACATGTATATTATATATATGATAGTTTTCATGTAAAGGATTTTCATCGATGGTTGATCGATCAATAGAAAGCGTAATAACTACAACAATATCGTCACCATCGTCATCAAAAACAGTCGAATCAATAATATCATCATCGTCATCGCCCAAAAAATATTTATCTTTTGAACAAAGTTGTGCTAAGATACTGATGCAAAGATACGGTCCACATTTATTTCATGTTGCAAAAATAATATTTTTGGCTAGATTTATGCAGGTAAAAAAATGAATACGTAAATTGTAATCAATCATTTGTATTTTATTATATATATTATATATTAATTACAATGTATTTATTTTTTGGGTGAATTAAATTTATTAGCTACTTGCAGTTTTATTACACACATTTATTTTACATTGCGTTATAGTAAATGATATCCAACAATCTATTCGTCAAGAAGAATGTGAAGAATATAACAACATTAACAGGAACAGTAATAATAGTAACAGTAATATTAACAGTAGTAACGGTAACAGGAATAACAATAGCAGGAATAATAATAGCAGGAGTAGTAACAATAGCAGTAACAGTAGCAGTAACAGTAGTAATAATAATTATAATAATAATTCTAATTATGATGATGATAAAAATTACAATGATTGGGAATTTGAAGACGACGACGATGAAGATGATGATGAATCAAATGGAGATGTTGAAAATTTTGAAGATGGTGAGGATAATAATGATGATACCAAGTTACTACTTCATCATTATCGTAATCGTAATCATCGAAAGTATCTACGTTATGATGAAGTTGACGATGTTAATGATGAATTGATTGATGAATTGGTTGAAAAAAATTTGGATTTAATAAAATTTAATAATTCAATATTAAAATCTATTTATTATAATTCTAGAAATTAGATCAAAAAATTCTTTTTTTATTATATAGAAAATTTATCAAAAATGGACTTTTTTAAAACCTTTTATATTTTATATTTATATATTTTTATTATACAAGTAGATGATATTTTTATTTTAAAAAAAAAAATTTCTTTATTTATTTTGTAAATATTATTAATTTGTACAAAAGAAAAAAAAAAGAAAAGGGCGGGCGGAGGATAATATATTTAGTAATAAACAATAAAAACAATAATATATACTACAATCTATCCATCTCATTAATTTGATTATCACATTAAAATGGAAGATTTGGTGGTATAAAGTCATAATTTACATTACCATTACCATTATCAATATCATTATTGTTATTATCATTATTATTATCGACATTATTAATATTATACCAGAAATTATTATAGTACAACCAATTATTATTATAACCATAATAATAATTATAATAATTTTCATAATAATTATAGTAATTTTCGTAATAATGATTGTAATAATTATCTTCCCTTAATCTTTCTTCGTCAACTGGTTGCTGATTTATATCAGACTTTTTAATCGATTTTTCCTTATGCTGATTATCATAATCTTTGGAAAATTCCACCGGGGGAATTTCTGAAATCTGAGTCTTATAAATAAATAAATAAATATTATTATCAAGTAAGCTAAAATTTCTGTTGTTTAATCTAATTAGTTAAATACATCAAATTCTCTCCTTTCAATTAACAAATAAATACCTTTATTGTTTCTCTTTTATTTAAAAATTCTTCATATGCCTTTTGATCAGTTTCAGTTGTTAAAGGTCTTTGATGATGTTTGATTGATAATTCATCTAAAAAATTATTTAGAGAATGAGTGAGTGAATGAATGAAGGACTACGATGATGAGTTTATAAAAATTAGAATAAATATTACTTGAAAGCGGCTGAACATCAATGTTATAATTTTCTTTTAATAACTCAATAAATTTCATTTCATTTTGATCAACAAAACTTATGGCCAAACCATGTGTACCTTATAAATGAATATTGTTATTGTTATTACTGCGGCAAATAAAGTGTGAGTATGTGCGAGTATGTGTTTATGTATATGTTTACCATATCTTCCAGTTCTTCCAACTCTATGAAGATATGTTTCAGGGTCTTTTGGCATATCTAAATTTATTACTAAATTGACTCTTTCAATATCAATTCCTCTTGCAATCTTTCCCAAAACAAAATTCAATTATTATAATAATTAAACAATTAAATATAATATTTTTATAATTTTAAAATTCTTACCAGATCACTACACACAAGTACTCTAATTTCAAATTTTCTAGCTTTTGACATTGTATCAAGACGTTGTTTCTGATCCAAACCACCTATCATCAGTATCACCAGTATTATCAGTATCATCATAATCATAAATATTATAAATGATAATGATTTAAACGTAATAATGGTGTAAATTGAAATAAACCTGATATATTCATTGACATCCATCCTTGATTTGTTAAATAATTTGCTAAATCTACAGCTCTAAAAAATAATTAATGAAATGAAGAAGTATATATATTTTTATAA